GCTGTACCCCACCTTTCACCCAGACTGCTGGAGATGGGCACCAACCTCCCTGATCCTTACAGATAAAGAGCAGAAGATGGGTGGATGTTATTTTCACATTGAACATATTTATTTCAAATAACAATAGTTTTGCTGTGATAAATTGAATGTTAAAGACAAACATCTCTCAGCGCTGATATTAGAATTACATGGAGTTGTCAATGTTTAAATTCTTTGTTCACCATTGATTCTGAATATCCTTGATTATATGGAACAGTAAGAAAGGTTTCGTTTAGACTTGCATGCCCATCCCTAATTATAAATACACAGGAACAAACAGCAGTGTGTGCTCGCATTTATACATATTGCCAAAAACATGTAAATCTTCTATCAAATGTTTTGCATTGCTTTTGTGGTAGTGTAGCTGCTACCAACTCTGCAGAAACTTGACAACCTCTTTGCTCTCTGCCCACTACGTCATCAAGGGACCCTGCTGTGTAATTTTATTTGGCTTAGCACTTGCTGTAGTTCCTAATAGCTTTTACTCCATCAACAGTTAAGAATAGACTGTGGGAGATTTAGTGGTTTTCAAAGGTAGTATCCCATCATGGCACCACACTGGAATTCTCCCAGCAATCCTAATTTTGAGTGGTTTGATAAATCTTAGGCCCACTCCTTATGTCAACAACCACTACCCCTTGTTATGTCCACTACCCCTATGTGCAAAGAGGAATTGGGACATCACTACCCTCACGGGAACACACAAAATTTAGGGGTAGGGCTGAAATGTAGGGCTAGAAGGTGTATGGGGTTGGTCCTTAGTATAATAATTTGCTATAATTGGAATTGCAGAAAAGCAGAATCAGTGTGAAATGGCAAGAAATGGAATTAGATTGAATATTTTTTAACAAATGCAAAACCTGTAAAAATATGTAAATGTCATTTGAGTGTTGTACAAATCTTAATTACAAAGTAAAAAAATATCTAGTATGTTTTTATATATATATAGACTGTAGATTGAAAAAGTTATCAAGGGTTTAGTGGCAGTTGGCCAGCGTCCACTAAAAGGTTAGAATAAAAAAAATTAACTCATTGGACAATATTTTTTGTTTAATGTTTTGAATTCCAACACAAAACCAGAATCTGGTGCATTTTCAGATACTTTATACTACATTCTGCATGTAAGGGGCAGGACTGCTCAATTATTAATTTTTTTAAATTCATTTAATTCCCATATATGAAGCAAAAAAAAAAAAAAAAAAAAAAAAAAAAAAAAAAAAAAAAAAATTAAACAGCCATGTTCCAATGTGCCTAATACAAGTTTTCTGGCATATTTATGTTTTTCTGCTTATTCCTGCAAGTAGAGTGAGCTTCATTCTAACCAACATTATTTAACTGGTTCATATCAACTGACACTTTTAAAGTTTCTATAGGTCATAAGAGAGAAAAATTGAATTGTTTGATAAATATATTTAGTTTTTTGGGATTTTTCCCCCCAAATTTTGTGACTGAATGGGAGAGTTTGAATGGGGATGGTTGCGACTTATAGCAAAATTCTCAAGGCTCTTAAATATATTAGTTTTCTTATATGAGGCATCTGCTGACTCCCTAAACCATGCCTTATATTTAGTTTTTATTATAAAATATGAGGTTAAATATATCATTAAATATTTTTGTGGAAATTTGATCAATCGTTTTTGAAACTTTTTTGATGACCTGCAAACATCATACTGCAGCAACTTTGCAGCTAATGCATTTTATGTCACCACACTTGCCAGTGCAACTAGTAAAGGTTCAGTATGCCTCACCAAATTATCACTAATACTTACTCTGCACCATTTTTTACATCCAGATTTGTACTCACCTCAGGTTCTTTCATTCTTTACTGCTGTGATGGGACACACGCTGGACCACAGAAGTAGAGTGGCCCTTAAAGCCTCCATAATGAGCTCTGGAAGAAGATGAAGCTTCCCATCTTCACTAACCTTAAGGTCAGTATCTGTAGTGGAGATGCTTACTATCTTACCCAGGTTAATTTTTAACCTCGACATTCAAAAGCTTCTGTTTAAAGAAAAAAATTCAGCCAAACATTTCTTTCTTGATTACAAATTAGTTTATTTAAAATTTTAACAAGCAAGTGACGCACTTTTCCTAAGTGCCACAGCTGCTGTCTTACAAGTTTTTTTTTTTTTTAGTTACACGATTTTCTCAGTGACATCACATAGTTTGCTGAGAGTACTGATGTTGTTGCCTGTTATTCATCATTCCTGCTCTGCCCTAACAAGAAGAAATATTCTTATACGCTTAATTTATAGTCACTGCTTTTTAGCTTTTATGTGGCTGAAATTAAATTAAGCTTGCTAACTTACTTGAATGTGTATAAACACAAACCTAAAGAGGCACAAGGTCCTTTACTGAGTGTGTATGGAAGGGCTCAGTGTCTCGGCTTCTCCTTTAGTGTTTGTGTTAAAACTACAAGCCAGTGATGGCCCTATAAATAACATTTTTATTACATGTGTAGTTTTAATGCATTTTGCAAAAGTGCTCTGAGGGCTTAATCATTTACTGTAAAATGCTTGAACCTGTACTTTTAAATACACTGTCTAATGGGCACTTGAGCTTTGTGAGTGAATTTTGTTTTCAGTTTTTATTCAATGAAGTTGTTCTCGTCCACTTGATGTAAGGACTTTGGGTTCATCAAAGACTTATCTGTGGATGTATTTTAATGTCATTATGAACAAAAGCAAGTTTTTTTTATGTGCTTGAGATTAGATTTCCCCATTTTACTTATCGTATTACACACTGGTCTGTGTTGACAAATGCAGTGTTACAACCATTTAAAAACTCTCTACAAACAAGTTCTAAAAATTCTGGAAAAAGAAAATTATTAAATTGTAGAATTGTGAAAAAATATAAATTATTAACATTTGAAAACTTTATTATTGACTCCAGTGTTAGTTTATCGTATAAAGTTCCTTACTATTTGGCTCCACAACCTTTGAAAATGTTTGTATCTGGATCAAGTAGGACGGAGAACAACACGTTTCTCCTCCAGAGGAAACTATTCTGTGAAGTTTGAAGCCTCAGATTTTGGACAAAACTGTTTCTCTTTCGAAGCTGAAGGGACGTGGAACTCTTAACATTTGACCATTCGAGAGAAAGACACTCTGCAACCGCTTAGATTTTATACATAGAAATGGTTGAATGATGGTTAGACTTGAAATAACGAAGTGATTATCAGTCCTTTCTTGGAGTATGTGTATGTATTAATTGAGAACTTCATTACTGGTGTTTCTTGTTAGTGCTTGTGGGGTTTTACTGATTTAAGAAAATAGAAAAATATATATAATTTTTATATATTCAAGTCCTGCTGTTTCTTGGCTGTGCCCTGGGACGACAGGTATAAATGAGCTTGTAGCTAATTTGGTCCTAGCATTTGTTGTGCATTGTCCT